CGCAGCCCATGTCGGTGGAGATTTGTTTTCGTTTGAACATCTGGCCTCTCCAGCAGCTGAGTGCCCTTCCTGAGTTTCATTTTCTATTCAACATGGACCCACGAGGTGCCAGCGTCGATCTCTTATACCAAGAGCATTTACTGCAGTGGATGACTGTGGGGGATTTACTGGGCGACTTGGTTGGTCGCATGGAAACACATCACGGAGGACGTTGTGGCAAAAGAAGCATTTGCATCGCAGCGGAAGGTCATCGCCGATTCGCGGCTCGTGAGGGTTTGACTATCCTTCGTGAGCTCGCGGATGAGAATTCTGTGGTCTCTCTTGTCGCTCGCCCTTCCAGTGTTGGTAAACAAATGCTGGCTGAATTCTGGCTTCCCAAGCTTGACGCGAAGTTGGCAGCTCCAGCGTTGGCTCGACTGGACTTGCATTGTTTCCAGGTGATTCTGGCTTGGGTCTCACTTTGCGCGTGGTGCAAGCTATGCAGAGTGTATAGACAGTGGAGCCGCTGGCTTCGTGCAAGCCCGACCTTTCAATCTGTGGTGTCGGATGCGCGTTGGGCCAAGGTTCCCGAGTTGCTGTCCATCCAACGGGAAGTGCGAGCCAATGAAGAATGATCTTTTAAACACTGAATTTTGACGTGCTCGATCCTGCAGGGACTGTCCGTGCATCGAGCGAAATGTAGTGAAAAAGGCGTCATCCGTGCCATCATGATATTCATTTGTTTGTGCACTTTTGTTATTTTTTGTTTACAGTTTCACTGTAAAGAGAAAGTCGTGCAACTAAGGTCATCCACGGCATCATGGTATCGAGCTTATTTGGTAAATTCTATGAGACTTTCCATATGAAAATGAGTAAACATGTGAGATCCTCGACATCATGGTATGGAGCTGTTTTTTGGGGTAATTTGTCTTGATATTCGTATACAAAATCAGAACAGACTCGTGTATCAATATTGCAGGAGCTATTTTGTGTCTGTATGGCAGGTTTTGTCACGCATGCCGTGGAGGAGCGCTGGGAATGGCAGTGGTTCTACAGCATCATGGCACCGAGTTTCTGCTTGCAACTCAGTGTCCCACTTGGAAGTAAGTAAGCAGCTGGTCCTTAGCGCGCCTGTGGTTGAAGGCATCGTTGCGTGCTGTACCTGTAGTTTGAAACATGACTTGTAGTTGTGCACCTGCACTTCGTTGCCACGGGAGGTAGTTTTGTCCTTGCATTGCGCTTGCATTGTTGTCGTTCGTTCGCCGGCTCAGAATGTAGGCTCGAATCTGTTAAATGGCTTGCATCGTGTTCAAGGTAGGGGACGTCTGTTAGATCACAGTTGCCGCCATGACCACCAGCGCTCGCGAGTGGAGAGCGGCGCGAGAAGCAGATATCAGGAGGGCTTACGCCAACAAAGAATGTTGGAATGACCTGGACCGCATTACCTGTCAGCACCCTTACAATTTCAATGCCATAGAGCAGTGGCCGTTGGACGCTGCCGTGATCTGCAAACCTACGGATCGAGCGTCGGTGTTGCTTGGAAGCATCAAAGCGGCGTGTAGCTTGGAAGACATTTTCAAGACTCTGTCGGTGAAGGTCACCGTGGTGGTGACCATGTGCGCAGATGCGAAGGATTGGGCGCGGTATTTCCAGCAAGAAAATGTCTTTCACATCAAGTGTCACTTGGATGACACGACATTGAAGCCGCCGAAGCGTTGGGAGGAACGAATCCCTGACTTGGTAGCTTCTTGTTTGGGACAGTGGAAAATTGTTTGTGGCCAGCTCTGGAAACAATATGCTGGCAGTGACCAGGGGCGAATCCATGCACGTGCTCTTCCATTGCTTTGGAGGCATCAATCGAAGCGCTGGGGCTTTATGTGCTTGGCTCGTCGTGGGTTACAACTACTCTGCAGAGGATGCCGTCCAGTTGCTGCTTGAGAAAAGACCTTCCTTGCGCCCTTGGCACAATCGCCCCTATGCCTTGGAGGCTTTGTGGAAGCTGGAAGGTTTGCGTGCCGAGTGGCACATGGAACTGAGTGCGGCGGGCACAAATTAATTTGCACCACTGTTCGTCTGGAGAAACTGTTCGTGGCGAACGTGCAAAATCAGTAGCCCACTGCTGTCTGTTTGTACAGTTGAAAAGTGTTGATCTACATGTTTTTGGGTGATCCAACCCGATGACAAACGATCACATCTTGGTACGAGTGAACAACTATACGCATGATCGTGCAATCTGAAATTTCCGAGGTGGCTCTTGCGCCAGTTTGGTATCGGCCTGGGTTTTTGATGGATGTTTTTGGTCTTACACGATCCAGTGAAAAAGCAAACGAAAGTACGAGTATGAAGTACGTGCATAGACTTTCCTGGCAGCGCATCCCTTGGGTGTCACAGCATTTGACTGAGTTTTAGATTTTGGATACCATGGTACTGAGCCTTTGTTTGTAAAGTCGTGCAACTAAGGTCATCCGTGGCATCATGGTACCGAACTTTTTTGGTATGTCAAACTCAGGAGTCGTGTTTTCAATTTCGAACTCAAAGAGCAGATGCTTTGCATTAGATTGTGCATTGTACATTCCTTGGCTCAGATGTGAACGAATGGACAAGATGCGTTTCGCTCAAGAGATGTGACGTTTGTAGGTGAAGCTGTAGTGGAAATATCGAAGCCTGGCACTTTCATTCTATGGTGACAATGTTTTTGTCGTCGGTGCCATGTCCAACAAAGTCGCATAAATTATTTTGCTATTTAAATGCTTTCTGCCATGGCAGCGAATGCGCAGGGAATCCCTGCAAGGGCGGATGTCTTTGGTGATCAAATTCTACAACACATTCTTTCATTTGTGCCTAGGAGCTCTGAATTGGCTTTGTGGTATTCTTTTCAACCAGAAACCGGACACTATCTGGTAAAAGCTGGTTGGCCAGTTGTTTTGAAGAAAATGTGTCATTGGAAGGAGGCAGACACCATCTGTATTTGCTGCGGTGCCAACCAAGAACCTGGCGATCCAAACGAGTCAGACGATAGCTACACATCTCAGCAAGTCTCTGCTGGCTGGGCAAGGGTCATGACCGTGACAATACCGCACTTTTATCATCATCATATGAAATATATCAAAAAACAGCTAGAAGCATAGAACATGTTTGGAAGACAATGGCAGCCGAGAGATGTTACATTTGCGGGCACTGCAACGACTGCGTTGAATGTCTGGGAGCAGCCTGCTGACTGGCTGGAAGATCTTGCTGCGATCACAGAGATGCTGCAAGTAAGGTCGTGTCCGTGGAGGTGCCCAGATAAAGATCGACCGCAGTAGCCGGATTGCTGCAACCAGAACTGTGTGACCAACAATGCATCATCATGTGTCATTGACCTCATCATGGTACTGCAGATGTGTCATTCGCGGCATCATGGTACCGAGCTTTTTGTGGCTAATTGTGTGGGATTTTTCATCATAAAATGAGAGAATATCTTTCATCCACGGCATCAGGGTACCGAGCTTTTTTTGTGTCTTTTTTCTTGACATGTTGGGAGCAAAGTAGTGTAAAATGTGTGATTTGAGACATCATGGTACCGAGGTTTGTTGATAGTGTTTGCGTGAAGTGACGTAACACGTGTGATCTACGGCATCATGGCACCAAGCTTTTCTGTTAAATTATGTGAGAATTTCGATAGTAAAAGGTGCAAACATGCCACATCTGCAGCATCATGGTACCGAGCTTTGCTTGGAAGCAGCTTGTGGAAGCTGGAAGGTTTGCGTACCGAGTGGCACATGGAACTGAGTGCGGCGGGCACAAATTAATTTGCACCACTGTTCGTCTGGAGAAACTGTTCGTGGCGAACGTGCAAAATCAGTAGCCAACTGTTGTTTGTCTGTAAAGACTGTTCGTGACAAGCATGTGAACTCATTAGTGCGACCAGCAGTTCAAAAGGTGGAAAGTGTTGCTCTACATGTGTGCGTGATCCAACTCTATGACAGACGATCTCAGCTTGGTACGAGTGAACTATGCATGATCGTGCAATCTGCAATTTCTGAGGCAACTCTTGTGCCAGTTTGGTACCTGCCTGGGTTTTTGATAGATGTGTTTGGTCTTGAAGTAAATTAAATTACTGGAATGCGTCCAGCGCTGTGCACGCACTAAGGTTAGCACTTCTGAGCCACGACGTTTCACTGCCATTTTCTGTGTACTTTCGTAGAACACAGCAAAGTCACATAACATCGAGTGGTGCCGAGCTTTGTGAGCGTCTGTGTGTAAAAGTCTCCGTGTAAGCGTCTGTGTGTAAAAGTCTCCGTGTAAGCGTCTGTGTGTAAAAGCGCCTGTGTGTAAAAGCGTCTGTGTGTAAAAGTGTCTGTGTGCAAAAGCGTCTGTGTAAAAGTGTCTGCGTGTAAAAGCCTCTGTGTGTAAAAGCTTCTGTGTGTAAAAGCTTCTGTGTGTAAAAGCCTCTGTGTGTAAAAGCCTCTGTGTGTAAAAGCGTCTGTGTGTAAAGTAGTCTGTGTGTAAAAGCATCTGTGTGTAAAGGAGTCTGTGTGTAAAGGAGTCTGTGTGTAAAGGAGTCTGTGTGTAAAAGCTTCTGCGTGTATCTGTAAAAGCTTCTTTGGGTCTAAGTGCCTGTGTTGCAAGGCACGTGGTTGCAAGGCACGTATTATATGTTGCCCTTTACCAAGCAGCATGGGTTGTCACATGTATCTTCTTCTTAATCAATCCTACTTTTCACAACTTATCCTCCATAGCTCATATAAAATTCACCAATTATTCACATACTATTTTTGAACAACTACCATTATCAGAGCTGCTTGAAAAACGTTTTTTTCGCTCTCGGGCCAACCGTCGTCTAGTTTTTTTGGGTTCGGAGCCCAAATCAGTCGGGAGCTCTCGTCAGTTACTTCTGTTCCGTCTGTTCCATCCGTTCGGTCCGTTCTGTCACTTCTGTCATCCATACCCTGGTCTCGTTTGGCGATGTGTCTGTTGTAGTTTGGGTTGTATGGTCCTTGTGTCTTTGTTTGTTTTGATTTTTGTTTTGTGCTTCGCTCCTTTGGTCTCCTTTGGATCTTTCGATCTCAATCTTGGCGCCTGAGGCCTGGACAGAGTTTTCAGCTTGACATTTCACAATGCTTCACGGTTCCACAAAGTGCGCTGTGCAACCGTTTCGTCGCATGAAAAACAAAATCACATCATGGTCATTGCCACAGGCACACATGAAGCTTGTTAGAGACATCAAAGGGACATGCAGGCACTTTTGATGTCGGGCCAGCTTGACATTGTGAACAAAGAAGTTGAGGTCAGGAAACAGACCCCGCGCATCCTCCACTTGTGGTGTTTCCCTGCTTCAGACCTTTCTATGGGTGTAGTACATGGTGTCGCGATGGTCTAGCTATGGCCGCGCCTGCTGCATTCTGCCAATTCCCACTGCCCCATACCATTCACAGCATCTTCTGGCGTCATTGGCTGCTTAGCTTTACTCCTTCAAGGTCATCCTTCAAAGCCACCCGTAGATTTATGCTTAGTGTTCTTAGCTAATCTTAGCTATATGGCTATACCTTTCTGCCATCCGTCTGCCACTGCACCTGTTCAGCCTGTTTGATGAGCTCACCACCAGGCCCAACGAGCATCCCAACCTGAAGTCTGATATTGTGTGCAACGATCAAACTATCACCAAGTCTTGAAAAGGCAAGACGACTAAGGCCACTGAGTTCCTACGAATCCTCCAAGTAGCGATTTGTTCGAATCAAAACCCTATGTAGTTAGCTATCCACTCAGGCCAATTCTGGGTTTGAAACCGGTTTTAACTCTGTCAAATGTAGCACTGAGCGTCCAAATGCCCCCCACATCTGCCCAATGTCTTTGTTGCAGACATGGGAAGCTGGAACTTCGCAGCAAAGTGAATACCTCACAAACTTGAAAGTGAAAACTCCAGGTCTCAAGCCTACACAAGCCCAACTACATTAACTACATATTCAGTCCACCCCCAAGCGAATGATTTTGAACCCTCTTCATCTGAACGCTGTCAGCGTTTTGGTGGCGCATACGCCAGCTGAAGGATGGAGCCCATCAACCAGTGGACACACACACGCACAGGTGTTAACTCCGTATTGAACCCGCTGGACCTGCTGGACCAAAGCACCCGCATGTGCCACATGCGAATTGAAAGACTTGAGCAAGGCATCGATGTTGAGTCTTGTGCTGCAGCTGGACGGTTCCAGAAGGGAAACTTTCCAGTGCATCGGCCTAAGCCAATTAAAGGACCGGATAACCCCACAAGGCAACTTCTTCCAATAATGAGCACCAAATTTTGTAGCGGGGACGGGGAAGGAAGGAAAGACAAAGGAGTTGGTGGAGGATCGAGAAGTAAAACAAAGTTGTGTGAGACAAAGTTGTATGTGAAAGATGGTGTGTGACAAAGAAAGATGGTATGAGGGGCAAAGTTGCGTGTGAAAGATGGTGTGTGTGTGTGTGAAAGTTGTGTGTGAAAGAGAGCGTGTGACAAAGTTTTGTGTGAAAGATGGTGTGTGACAAAGTGGTGTGTGAAAGCTGGTGTGGCGAGAGATGGTGTGTGACAAAGTTGTGTGTGAAAGATGGTGTGCGACAAAGTATGTGTGAAAGATGGTGTGTGCAAAGTTGGGTGTCAAAGATGGTGACAAAGTTGTGTGTGAAAGATGGTGTGTGACAAAGTTGTGTGTGACAAAGTGGTGTGTCAAAGATGGTGTGCGACAAAGTTGTGTGTGAAAGATGGTGTGTGACAAAGTTGTGTGTGAAAGATGGTGTGGGAAAGATGGTGTGAAAGATGGTGTGTGACAAAGTTGTGTGTGAAAGATGGTGTGTGACAAAGTTGTGTGTGACAAAGTGGTGTGTCAAAGATGGTGTGCGACAAAGTTGTGTGTGAAAGATGGTGTGTGACAAAGTTGTGTGTGAAAGATGGTGCGTGAAAGATGGCGTGGGAAACATGGTGTGAAAGATGATGTGTGACAAAGATGGTGTGTGAAAGAGGGTGTGTCAAAGTTGGTGTGTGACAAATTTGTGTGTGAAGGAGGGTGTGTCAAAGATGGTGGGTGACAATGTAGTGTGTGAAAGATGGTGTGTCAAAGATGGTGTGTGACAAAGTTGGGTGTGAAAGAGGGTGTGTGAAAGATAGTGTGTGAAATATGTTGTGTGACAAAGATGGTGTGTGACGCGAAGTGCCGCGGCGTCACTGGCGACTAATCATGACTAATCCCAGCCCAAGCGCGCCACCACAACCAGCCCAGTGCCCAAAGTGCCACGCCTAACGAAGGTGGATGTCGCCAAATGACACGCCTGCCATGTGAAACGAAGGCTGATGTCACCAAGTCAACGCCTGCCACGCAAAGTGCCGCGGCGTCACCGGCGACCAAAACAGCCCCAAATGCGCACCAGAGCCAGCCAAGCGCCATAAGTGCCAGGCCTGCCACACGCAAAGTGCCGCGGCGTCAACGGCGACCAAAACCGCCCCAAGCGCGCCACCAGAGCCAGCCCAGTGCCATATGTGCCACGTCTGCCACGCAAAACGCAGGTGGATGTCACCAAGTGCCACGCCTGCCACGCGAAACGACGGTGCTTGTCGCCAAGTGCCACGCCTGCCACGCAAAGTGCCGCGGCGTCACCGGCGACCAAAACCGCCCCAAGCGCGCCACCAGATTCAACCCAGTGCCATATATGCCATGCGTGCCACGCAAAACGCAGGTGGATGCAGGTGGAAAGATGGTGGGTGACAAAGGTACAAAGTTGTGTGTGAAAGATGGTGTGTGACAAAGATGTGTGTGAAAGATGATGTGTGACAAAGATGTGTGTGAAAGATGGTGGGTGACAAAGATGTGAGTGAAAGATAGTGGGTGACAAAGATGTGTGTGAAAGATTGTGGGTGACAAAGTTGTGTGTGACAGATGGTGGGTGACAAAGATGTGTGTGAAAGATGGTGTGTGACAAAGATGTGTGTGAAAGATGGTGGGTGAAAGATGGCGGGTGACAAAGATGTGAGTGAAAGACGGTGGGTGACAAAGTTGTGTGTGAAAGATGGTGTGTGACAAAGATGTGTGTGACAAAGTGGTAAGGCGGAGGCGGCGGAGGAGGAGGAGGAGGCGGAGGCGGGATACAGAATGAAAAATAAGAACCCCACACAAAGATGGGGGGAAAAAACAATACAAAATCCAGGACAGCAACGAAAACCGGCACAAGTTGCGACACAAATGTCGGAAAAACCGAGGGACCAAAAAGAAAACAACAACACAATCTAGCACGCTGCCCTATGCTGGGTAGCACTCCAAATCGGCAGAACAAGAGAAGCTTTGTTGCGGTCAGGTATTTTTTGAAGTGGTCATTGTACTGACAATCTGTGCTGACCCTTACATCAGACCTGAGCGCCTGAATCCGCTTGGGCCCTCCAGCCAAACTGTCAACTTCCTGCCGTGAAGAAGCGTGGCATGCCATGCGACTGTTGGGAATGCCGGTTGGAGAAAAAGACAGCATAGAACACAGCCGGAATGAAAGAACAACTATGAGAGATATGACGTAGACTTTGTCAGATATTAGTTACAATTTGCGCCCTTCACCGCCAGCTAGGACGGGACCTCGCCCACGTTGGTCGACACCTTTGGAGTATGCCGACCTGCGATCAGCTGGATCAACTGCCATGCCTTGGGCCCTTCGCATCCTCTTGCGCTTAAAGGAAACATGAAGAAACCGTAAAGAAATGAAAGAAACACATGAGAACACCGCCGAAACATTGCAAAATCGTTCAGATCCGCGTAGCCTACAGATTTTCCGGCCTGCAGCTGAGCTTTGCGTCACTGCAGGTGGTGGTGGCACAATGTCTTTCAAAGCGTCAGAGTTTGAGTTGTAGCCACCTCCTGGTGCGAAGCCATGGAAGGAAACCATCATGAAGAGCTTACTTTACTTTAACACCAACATAAAAACAACATAGCGCCACACATTTGTGAGGTGCTGTACCGGGACTGTACCGTTGTACCCAAAATCTGTTGATCTGAAGCCCCCACGAGACTTATCAGAATCCAACGTGCCCATGTAAGCAGTGCCGGCTTCTTCTTCTCGTCGCTCCTCCTTTCTTGTGGCCACCCTGCATCACAGGAATTCAATGTTTGTCAACAGCTGTTGCCAACAAAGTGGTTCATTTGCGCTTTCGGACAGCTGCAAAGCTTTCAAAGAAATGATGCTGTGAATGGCTGAGTGAGCCTTAGGCGCTGTGCCGCGTTCGCGCTGGCTGCTCTTGCCCTGACCACATGCTCGGTTCAACAGCAGAAACGATGAGGGAGCAGGCGGCCTGTTGAGGTGTGACTGGGCGTTTACGCTGCTTGGTTGAACACGTGCACAAGAAGTTGATGAAAATACAAAAGTATAACATAACCGAAGGAAGTTTAGACGTCAAATTTCCGACAATATGGTCAGTTGGAAAGCAGAGGTGGGAAGAGTCAGAGTCGAAGAAAGAAGATGCAGGTGCGGGAAAAGGTCGAAAAGTCGCAAAATTGTGTTTTTCCAATGATTTGTGGCTCCGGAGGGTCGAAAAGTAGGCTTGCTAAAGCGGCGGGTGCGGAGCCATCTGGCTAGGTGAGAGATGCAAAATTGCATGCTGTTGTGGCGCGAAGCACATTTGAAAGTCAAAATGTAGAAAGCACCTCACGTTCGGACCGCTTTTGGAAGTTGAGACGTGGAAAAGTGCACGCCGTTGTGGCGGCGCGAAGCACATTTCAAAGTAAAAATAATAAAAGCACCACATGCTCGGACCCCTTTTGGAAGTTGACATGTCGAAAAAGTGCACGCCGTTGTTGCGCAAAGCACATTTCCAAGTCAAAATGTAGAAAGCACCTCACGTTCGGACCGCTTTTGGAAGTTGAGATGTCGAAACAGGCGCCGTTGTGGCGAAGCACATTTCGAAGTCAAAATGCCAAAAGCACCTCATTGCCGGAGCACTTTTGGAAGTTGTGGTGTGGAAGAGGTGGACGCCGTTGTGGCCCGAAGCACATTTGGAAGCCAAAATGTACAAAGCACACCATGTTCGGAGCACTTTTGGAAGTTGAGCTGTCGAAAAGTGAACGCCGCTGTGGCGCGAAGCACATTTCCAAGTCAAAATACTAAAGACACCACATGCTCAGACCACTTTTGAAAGTTCAGATGTGGTTTTGCGTGGCAGGCGCAAGGGATTCTGCACCCTGACAAAAGTGAGCAAAACGTGAGGGTTTTGAATCAGTTTCAGAAGCGTTTGCAGGCGTGGGGCATTTGAAGAAAATCTCGAAAGATGCATTTTTGCGTGGCAGGCGCAATACAAGAGACATGCTTATCAGAGATGTTAGGAGGTCAGGGCGCTGATTTCCTGAGAAGGGGTTGCATTTTGGAGCATCAGATCTTCAGGTTTGCTAAGATGATTTTGCGTGACAGGTGAAGCGCTTTGTATGACCTGGCATCACTTTTTCCTGGCAAGCGCAGTACTTTAGACAGATGGAGTGGAAAATCGCAAAACGCATTGGTATGAGGCCATCAGCTCTGCACTCAACTTTCCATTTTTGAAGGAAGTCTCGCAGAATTGCTTCGTTTTTGGCGTTCTCAACTTCGAAAATTGAGGAAGTCTAGCAGAATCGCTTCGTTTTTGATGCTGTCAACTTCGAAAAATGTTGTCAACTTCGAAAATTGAGGACGTCTGACAGAATAGCTTCGTTTTCAAGCTTGCAGATAGACAGATAAATAGATAGATAGACAACTGCAGCTACAACTACATACACATTACACTACAAATACAAAAAACTACCACTACTACCACTACTACTACCACTACCACTACTACTACTACTACTACCACTACCACTACTACTACTGCTACTACTACTACTACTGCCACTACCCCTACTACTACTACTACTACTACTACCACTACCCCTACTACTACTACTACCACCACTACTACTACCACCACTACTACTACTCCTGGTGCTACTGCTACTGCTACTACTACTACTACTACTACAGCTACAGCTACAGCTACAGCTACACTACGTTACACTACACTACACTACACTACACTACGCTACGCTACACTACACTACACTACGCTACACTATATAATTACGCTGCAGTACGCTACAAGTACAACTACAATTACAAATACAACTACACTACACAACACTACAACTACAACTGCATTACGCTACTTTACACTATACTACACTAGGCTACACCACACTATATCACGCTACAGTACGCAACACTACAATACACTACACAACACCACAGCTACAACTACATTACACTACTTTACGCTACACCACACTAGACTACATACCACCATACCGCACTACAGTACACAACACTACTGTACACTACACTACACAACACCAATTACACCACACCACAACAACAACTGCAACTGCACTACACTAATTAAACTACATTACAGCTACAGCTCCACTACACGACACTGCAGCTACAACTACAACTGAGCTACACCAGACTACATCCAGCAGTTGTGGTGAGGTGACCGCTGCAACCCTTGCCACCGCTCCAAAAAACACAACTCCAACCACCTTCTGCTTCTGGTCCATCAGTGGATTCGCTCTGCCATCTGCGATTCACAAGAACCAACCTCTCCTATAGGTTTCCTATTTTTGAAACTTCCGCCACCGCCTTGTGCGGTACGACTGGTGCACAGAATTTACTCAAACGATGGCCGCAGAGGATGGTGCCCAAGTAGACCCAGTCAGCAGAGTGATGGCAAATCATGTGTATATATCTGTATTCATTCACCCGCTGTTTTGAGCCCGTTGCAGCTTGTTGCTGTTGCTGTGCAAAATGCGCAAGATGGCATGATGCCGCGGCGATGTGACATCTGAGCTCCCGCGCCCCTTTCGTGTTGCCCTGGACTACCTGGGATGCTTGGGCAATTTGGATTCATTCTGTTTGCATGGGTACTCCTGTTCAACCATCTATCTTCATGGCAGAAAACGGATTAATGAAAGCTGTCCACTTGATTATCAAAGGAAAGCATAGGAAAACAACCTCTGAACTGACACTTGAAGGATGTCTTTTGCCAAGCTGATCTCCGATCTGTTTCCGCAGAGGTCTCTAATGGGCATCCGGACACCTGAAGTGGTGACACCTGAAGGGCCAGCAAGGCCTGGGACAAAGAACATGAAGAGACGTGTTCAGAGACGTGTTCAGAAACGTGTTCAGAGACGTCCTGGATGTGTCGTTGTCATGCAAAGACCCAAGGGGAAGATACACAGCATGCTCAGCATGATGGCTGCTAAGCGAAACACCAGCAAGACTTGACAAAAGAGAAAGCAGCGTAGGAATGGAAATTCAGAAGCTAAGACAACAAAAAGAAAACGCAATGAGATCAGCGTCCAAACCCTGACGATGTGGAATGTGAAAGCCGCAGTATGGTATCTGAGCAACCTTGCACAATCCTGCTGGGCAGACACACGGGGTGTATCTGTTTTCCACAGGCCAACACAACAAGTGAACGTGCATGTCGGCCGCTGGGTGGACCACGTTTGTTGCCACCAGGCTTGTCCCCGTCCTGATCATTGCAAATCACTGCAGCTTGCTGCGATTTCCAAACCAAAATCAACAAAATCAACAAAATCCGACATCCGGTGATTCCCTTTTGATCCCGTTCCATCGACGCCTCACATCACATGACGTGTTGAGGATCGACGGATTTGACGGATTTTGAGGGTTTCTGAGGGATTTGTGGATTCAAACGACGCTTTGTTCAAGATCTTTCGTCACGTTTCGTCCTTGGGCTCTGGTGGTGGCTCCCATCCGCGCTGCTGCGCCTGGAGCAGAGCCCGGGGCAGTTCACATCTTTCCCACATTCCGTCATATCGTTTGGCCATTTCCGTGCAATTGCGACGTGAGTTTGTGAGGCTCTTCGACAAACAGCTACATCTAAAGTTTGTGTGAACAGCAAAGAAGCCAACCATAGTCTTTGATGGGTTATCAGCGAACAGCCAGGCTAGCCGATTTGACGCTAGCTAGCATGCTCAGCTCTCCCACTGCGTGCTGAATTCAAGCTATATCCGGAACACCTGGCTTTTTCTTTCGGCACCACTTGGCACAACTTTTGCCCAGGCCCTCCTCGTAGAAGTTTATTATCCGAGAGAAGCCCTGGTAGAACTCCTCCTTCGCGGGAAGGTTCGAAACATGTGAGATGATGGTCGTTTCCATGTTGGTGTCAAGTTAGGGTTGCATTTGCTGTCTTCCGCTTTTGCGCGTGGATCAATGCCTTGACCAGATGTTTCCATGCAGCTTGGTGACGTGCCCCGGATTCCCTCTCGCGATGTCCAGAGAGTGGGAGCCTACGTCTGTGCGCCTTTTCTGGCTTGATCTATCTGAGCCTATCCAAGGAGTAGTTTTTGGCCTTCTGAGAACGTGCTGCGATGAATCAAGGAATTGCCTCCTTTTAACCTTTTGTCTGACGTGAAAGTCGGCACTTGATCACATGTAATCCACATGGCAGACCATTCAGCACGACCGAACAATCCAATGAACAAACATGCTCTGCCGGCATTCCTCGTACTCGCTTTCACATTGGACGAAACTGGGCGTGTTGGCCGGAAAGTGAAAAAATTGCTGCCTAGCCGGACCTTCCAAACTACTGCAGGGAAAGAAAACATTTGCAGCATCCAATTAAATCCAGTTAGAAGCTCTTATTGGGAGATGTCTTTCTATGCTGGTGGAAAAACCTCAACTGGCATGCAAGACACTGCAAGGCACGAAACCACCACCACGGCAGGGCACACCACCAAGGCACGGCACAACTCTTGGAATGAAATATGCGGATCCGGGATAATCATGGATAAACATCCGCATAAAAATGGGCTATGCCTTGATATTGCTTCCCTGTGCTTTCAAAATCATCTTCTAAATCAAAGACTCGGCGGTCGACATGAAGTCATGAAACTAGCACACAAGCTGCACACACTAACACAAGCATCCCTTGGGCATCGCTACGGCATCAAATCTGTCAATGACTTGAGTTCATGTTTCCATATGTTTCCAAGGTTCCGAACTCATTGATATGTCTCAGGGCTGCCAAGATCGTGTTCGGCCTGAGCCGGCGAAGATTGACGGAAGGGCTGAGGGGGCACGGTGTGTTTGTCATGTCAGAGGATCAAAGCACATGAATCGAAGCCGCCGTGAAATAACCACTTGTCCGGGAAATGGGTAAAATGAACCAAACCTGTAAACCCACCAAATCACAATTTTAATGGGGTTAGTGATTACGGTCCATTGGAATTGGGGGGGCCCCCTATGTTCAGACAAACTGAAATAGGTTTCGTTCAGTTTTAGTAACTTTAGTAGGCTGTGCAATATGGATTCTTTGAGAGGCCGGTTAAGCTTCCGCACGTGCCGATCACTTTGCCTCTGTGACCAGGGGCAGCAGGGGAACTGTGAATCACGCAGAACCTCAAAGCCTCATAGCCTTATGTTGTAGATACGTACCTTGCGTATCACGATAGAAGGCTCTATGCTCAATGCTCAATGCTCAGCCGCTTCAAACGACTACATAATCATACGTAAGCTACGTATTCTAAAAAACATCGTGGGCATCCAAAATGCCGTCATTCCATGTGCACTACGCGTGCACCGCCATGCTCTGTCCATCTACCCGCCTGCCCGATGTCCAAGGACGCTTTCGTTCTCCACGAAGACCTGTCAAGCGCAAGCTGTGTGGCGCACGGGCGACGCATTGCTTGGCGGTTTGGCACGTGCGAACATCGTGGTACACCGTGGCACGTATGCCTTGGCCCCGGAGTCGTGGCGAATGAACTTGATGTTGCTCCCGTGTGAGCCCACCTTGCCAGGGGCATGATGCACATGATGCACCGAGGAAGAAAAAACCCAGGAACCTTGGGGGTGCCCAGTGCCCGAAAGTGCTTGGGTGCAGACAATTTGACTTTGCATTCTCCGGGTCAAGGCGAACCTAAATCAAATGTGACAAGCGGATACAAGAGGTAGAAAGGTGGCTCGGCAAAGTTGGTTCAGTGGTTTGAAACCAAAGCCCTGCACCGGAAGATGTACCTGTGCACAGCAGGACTCGCAACTGAGGAACTTCAAAAGAATCATCTACGCATTACCTCCCTCCCTTCCCCTCCCTTTATCTTATCTTCGGCACGCCCTATTCTGCCAATGTTTACTTAGTATACTTGAAGGTCTGCTCGTCAAAGACCCGTGCTTCCCCCGCGAGGGTGGGATTTGATGCATGTGGCAAACGGCTCCCGCAATCAACACCAGGTCTTGTCTTAGCGAAATGGGCGCGAAATGGACACGAAAATACTTTAATCCCAAATCCGTTTCACAAATATGTCATCCATGTGATCAGTGTCCACCGTCGGACTGTCACAAAGTCGCCCTTGAAGGGTCACTCACCAGACTCTTTGCCACAAAGGTCTGTCTGCCCTGATGGCCTCAGCTCAACATCGTCTCATCAAGTGTGATCGCGTTTGTCTAGAGAAATGGTTGGTGAGAAATTGCCATGTTAACCTGTTAACCGTTGTCAAGTTTCTCTTTGTTTTCAATTGTTCAGAACATTGCAACAGATCACAAAATCCGGTCCAAAATCTTGGATCATCTTGGATCGTCTTGGCATCGCTGCTGGCTCTTTCGCTCTTCGTCACCGTGGGAGACGAGCTGAGGAAGGATGCAGCTAAACCTCAGCGGCCCAGCGACCCCGGCGTGAAAGGTTCCACAGCAGTTTCGAAATCCCAAGGTTTGTACCTCTTTAGATGCTTCAGAGCTGATTTCAGACGACTTTAGTGCATGTCGTGTGCATGTTTTGTAGGTTTGCTGAGTCTGTTGAGTCTGTTTCCCCAAACTTTGGCTTCCAGCGATCCACTTTGGAACGCAAATTTCGAAGTGCTAGCTGCGCTCACAACACAAATTGCCCGCAAAGGAATTCCTCTCTTCGTCTTTGATCTTGGGCTGCCAGGCACGTCAAGTATGACGTTCGGGTCATCAGCATAGATTCCCAGGACCTAATCCGCACGGTGCAAGATGGTCCAAGGTCAATTGTCAAAGAAGCAAGAGATAGCTGTGACATCATTGCGGCGAAAAAGTTGCAGGGGCACATGCAACGTTTAGGGTCAGAGTCATGCTGCTCCAGTTCTGCAATTTGGAATACTAATGATGGCAGGAGCAGTCGCAATGGTCGCAGAATCCTTTGTGTCCTCGGCCACTTCTGAGCATTAGACACGATACTTTGTGTCTGGGAAATAATCGTTTCGATTGCTGAAAACGAGTCGGGCACCGGTCTCCTGCACAGCCACAGCAGGGAGGAAGGCCCAAGAGACATTGAGGGAGGAAGGCCCAAGAGATGTTGCAACATTTTCCAACTGGAGACGGAACGTAATCGGAACATTGCAACATCCCAGGCGAACCCTTTGTCCCTGTGCTCCGCCGCTCCTTCTGGATGTCATCTTTAACAGAGCCATGAGTTCCTCCGCGGTCAAGAAATGAGTTGCTTCTGCAATTCGATCCTCATCCCTTTGGAACAATTCCTTTGTAGAATGGTCTCACGGGAGTGTTTTTGGACCAGGCCTTCACGTCAACACGTTTCAAATATGCTTGGATTTTATGCTTCACCACGCTTCATCCCACGCTGATGATCGGTCTTCCTCATACAATACGTCAGCATCCCTTCAAGAAACGAGGCCCGCAGCCAGTCCTAATAAACCAGCCGCTAAGCTATCGGTAATCAGAACCTGTGGCGGCACTGTGAGGGCCAAAAGGACTGAAAGACACCCGTCGGCGGCTGTCCAGTGGGAATAAAGAATAGCTTGTACCGGTTAATTGCTGGAAATGCAAAAGGGCTATGTGTGGACTCTATAGATATGAAATATGCCACAGCATTGGATGGCGAATCAGGCCTAGATGCTTCTGCGAGCTCCTGCCTTGAAGGCGTGTTTGGTCCTTGGAATGTTGGTCCCCAACGACTCCGAACGACCGTGATAGCCACCATGGCCATGGGAGTTGTGGTGCGAGCCTTGGCGTTGCGACTGCAGCCCAAAATGTCAACAACACCAAACATCGCCAGACATCACAAGACATCAGAAGACACCACAAGAAAGACATCAGAAGACATCCGAATGCAGCAGAAGGCATCACAAAACACAGTCCAGGCAAGTGTGTTCAATGGATCCATTGCTTACCATATTCAAGAACATTTGATGTCTGTTGACGACTGACGCGCAAAGTTTGCAAGCACAGACCTCAAATACCAATGTGCTAAGTTGATGAATCTGGTGAGACCTGGTGAGATTTCATATTCTGGGGGATGCATTTGCGGCACTTCCCACAACGCTAGTTGCAGGGACGCAACCACGGCTGGGTTTTACATAGTGTATTTGGTCAATTTGTGGAGGTTTTGGTCCGATACCTGACACCACAGAGTTTCACCATGCTTCACCTCTAGAGTCGACGGGTGCGCATCCGCGCTGAGGACTGGGGCGTTTGGATGGGGGCTCGGCGCCGTCATCAAAGCCTCAGAGACAACAAAAGACAAGAAACAAAGACACCAGAAAGACAGGAGAAAGACACGAGTCAACCAATCAAATGGGTCAAACAACAACTTGGCTCGAGAGTCCCGAGCGTTCCATCTGCAAGGCTGTCTGCATCTCTTGAACATTCCTTCATGCTCTGCACCAAGTGCACTGCGACAATTAAATCTGGACAAGCAGATTTACAGGCTGAATTGCAGGGTTACACCGGTTACACCTGATCCAAATGAGCGCTCTCGACAAGGCACCAGGACCACCAGGACTACCAATACCGCGCTTCATAGCGCAGCTTCAGCATAAAGTTCTTGGAACCAAATCGTTTCGATGCTGAATATTCTGCTGGATATTCGGATATCTCCTTGCATATCCATGGATGTCAAAGGTGTCTATAAACTATAAGTGCACTTCAAGGGAAGAAACAGGGCTTCCTGTTCAGTGTATTGTATGTGGGGAGCCATGTGTCAAAGGCGAGAGCCAAGTAAATGATACAGAAAACATTGAGTTCTTCAGAATGGTCGTAAGCCAATCTGGCAGCTTGTTGCTCCTAGGTGGTTGCGTGTTCTGAGGTTCGAAATGCAAAGCCGTGATGCATGCTCCCCTGGGATACCACTTTTTTTGCAGCACAGCAGCTGTAAATGTCTTTGCATTCATCAGAATTGACTTTAACATATCTTTATAGAACGCTGAGCCGAAAAGGCAGCAGCAAGTTTGCTGACCTTCCACAAACAAACACAAACAACGGACATATACTACATATACATGCTTCTACAAACAAAGGTTCCTATGCTTCTAGATGCTTCTACATGCTACCCCTGGGATCCATGTCCAAAGATGGGAAAGCTGAGGACCCGTATAGCACCTTTCCAACTGGCATCCAAGTGCCACGTGTCTCCTCTTGTCATGCATCATACAAACCACGTGCAAACCACGCCCAAACCTGAGCATGTCCTGCAGCCCTTGTCCCCCATGCAGTCACAACTGTCGTCGTCTGCGGGGCTTGCGACATAGTGATCACAGTGGATGCAACGAGAAACCATCAGTCCGCATGACGACCAGCTAGAATTGTTTCATCCATCGCACGCTGTTGTACATCTCAAGCAGCTTTCGGCCAAGAGAGAGTGGGCATGGTTCACAACAAAACAAAATATTATGTGGCATCATCCTGGCACTCGTTTCAGATTCTTGGCTGGAACTTGGGGTTCCACAGTCCTTGTGTAACCATTCCCACTGAGTCACCTGCGTTGCCAACTTTTGAAGGCCAGCAGAACGGTATCAGTTCAGCTGAGGGAAGACTTCACAACTGCGGTAGATATCCAATCGTGGAGGGTCTACGTTGCCCTTGCGCTTGCATATCATGAAGAAAACGATGCAGCAATTCCATGCAATTCCTGAATCAAACCTGCCGGGATATGAAAGCTAAGGGCCGTCTGTACAAGTATGGGTCTGTTCGACCCATCTCCATATAGCTTCCCACTGCAAAAACAAGGTGCAAAAATGGTGGAAGAGCCTGCTCAGCAGGACGAAATGCTACCCCTCAATGCCCAGCAGGGCCTTGCGAATCTTACCCCTCAATGCCCAGCCGGGCGTTGGCAATTTTGCCCCTTAATGACCACCACCATGTGCGTCACCGTGTCCCCCACCATGGCCTCCATGACCCTCGCCTCCTTCAGGGACGCAGTGCTCGTGGCCAATCAGTATCAAGCCGATCACAATGGCTCCCAGCACAAAAGCCGCAAAAGCTGCCAGACGCTGCCCGAAGCCCAGCTTGGGGTCATACAGTTTGGGCAGGCAATCTGTGGCACCCAGGTGCAGGTACACACCGCCGCCAAAGGCTAGGATCAAACCAATGGTAGCGTCATCAACTTGTGCAGAAAGCACTATGGCAGTTCCGATGAGCACGCTGGTACCACTGATGAAATTTGCAGCCAAAGCCTTCAAGGATGTTCAAGGATCTCCCAGGATTTTGGATTTGGCGACTTGAATCTGAAAACATGTGTTTCTTCGATAACTTCGATCCCCTACATCTTTTGGGCGTGAAGTGCGTTAAGGATTCATTGTAATACATTGAAGGATCAAACATGCAACACTGCACAACACTGCACACAGGTATAAGCCAAAAGCACAAGCACCAACCAAGCGCACGAGCCAACCCAGCGGCCCAAGCCTTTGCGATGCCCAAAGCAACATCTGGGCCCGTTAAGATCACAAAATCAGCTACCTCCTGGGGTAGTTCATGCAGAATGGTGCCGACAATCACGCTCCAGCCAAAGGAGTTTCCGCAGCCTTTGAAGGCTGCGCCAATGAAAAAACCGTCACAAAGGTTGTGGAAGAAGTCTCCAATGACAACGGCTCCTACAAGCCGAGCTGTGGCCCTAAACTTGGCGACTGGATCCTCTGTCTCTGCCTTTCCCGCCTCAACAGAAGACTCCTCACCAGAGGGGGAGGCCGCAGACCCACCCTTGACCGCCAGCATGATGATACTGCAAATCGTCTCCACCACAGGTGGCAAGACCAGGCCGGCCAAGATCATGGTCCCCCAGCGCCAAACCACATCAACCTCAGCACTCCATCCCACTGCCACCAGGTGAGTGGCTTCAAAGAGGAGCAAGAAGAAGGCGCAGGCCAACAAAGCACCGGCTGCGAAGGCAAAGAGCATGGCACCAAAGAGAGGCCTCGCTGACATTTTCTTCACAGGAGGGAACAGCAGAAACACTCCAATGAAGGTGGCCAAGTTCACAGTCAGTGCTCCTAGCATAGGAGGGCCCCAGTCAGTAGTCTCTTCAGTCGCTTTTGCCGCTGCCTCCGGGATGGTCGCCTTCGGCTCGATGTCGTCGCCATGATCGTCCTTGAGGTAGTGGGCCGTAGCTTCAAACTCGGTGGGCACGTGGTTGGTGAAGAAGGCAATGCCTGCTGCCGAGCTGGCGTCGATGTTGTAAAGGGACTGCCACGCAATCCTGTGCAGAATGCCAAACGCCAGCCAAGAAAGCAGTTTCACCCTGAGCGAAAATAAAGATAATAATATATAAAAATAAAGAATAGCCTAGAAAAACATTCATGACCAGAATCTGTTGGAAGACCAAGCGGAAGCAAGTGTTGCTGGCAGGGACAATGGTGCCTCCAGCCTGCACGTCAGTGCAAGTCATGTTCATCGCATCCTCTGCTTGTTCCTCCAAAGCATGCAAGGCCTCCTTTGTGAAGGTTGTGACTGGCCAAGCCACCATCGTCAAGCTCGGATCGGCATAGTTTTGATTCACCTTCTGCGCCGTCCACATGTAGTTGCTCTCTGGCGTTTCGAAGATGCCCCCCCATTCATAGGGATGGTCCCCAGCACCAAGCGTCAGCGTGAACCTCAGGGTTAAAAGAAATCCAAGATACTCGGATTTCATGGCGGGATGTGGGGCCAAAGCTGGACACTCAGGTTCTTGATCCGCAAGACTCTCCGAAATACTTTCAAAAACCTAATGCGAGCACTGACCTAGCCATGTGTGGATATGAGCAGGCAAAACCGCTGGGCTCAATGTCGCCAGGCTGTAGCACATGTCACAAGTGGTCAAATCCAAGCTGGGCATTGCCTAGTCACATCTAGCCACTCCCTTACCGTTTCAAACCCTGATGTTGTAGGTCATTCCAATGAACCGAATTTTCTCAACGAACACACGCGCCAGCAATCCCGGTTGAATCCGTACCCGCGATTTCAGCAGTCATGCTCCTTCCACCAAGCCTAATGCACCTTGATCGCAATTGAATCCAATGAGTATGAAAGAGAACGCGCTGCAAATTTCAAGGTAGTTTTCAGGCAATGAGCCAAACCAGGAAGAATTGGTAGAGGCTCGCTTATTTCCCTTATTTTCCTTGTGCTGGACGATGATACAAAGGTGAAACAAGGTGAAACGATCTCTCTGAGTGAAACACGGCCAAACCTCTTGCAAGTCATGGAAACCGAATGGAAACACCAAAAATCTGAACGCTTTTTGGGCCCTTCTCTCACTAGGTCACGGCCCTCTTGGCCAACAGGTTTGGCAGTGAGCCAGTTGCTTTTAGCACAAACTCAGTTGCAGCCTGGACAGACAGCGGCGGACAGTGATGGACTGTGACCACACTGAGCAGGGAAGCGCAAGGAAAACTCAAAGAGTCCCTGCGTCTCACGCCTCATGCGTTGTTGGTCAGAGGCGGGAGCGTCTTTTTTTGCACCGTGTAGGTGACATGCCCCGTCCTCGGCGTAGGACCCTTTCAGCATCAACCCCATGGTGCCAGAGGCCGATCAAACTTAATTGTATGAATGAATTAAATAGAATTACAAAATCATGAGACATCACTAGTTGCAGGGCCGCAACCACGGCTGGGTTTTACATAGTGTATTTGGTCAATTTGTGGAGGTTTTGGTCCGATACCTGACACCACAGAGTTTCACCATGCTTCACCTCTAGAGTCGACGGGTGCGCATCCGCGCTGGAGGGCTGGGGCGTTTGGATGGGGGCTCGGCGCCGTCATCAAAGCCTCAGAGACAACAAAAGACAAGAAACAAAGACACCAGAAAGACAGGAGAAAGACACGAGTCAACCGATCAAATGGGTCAAACAACAACTTGGCTCGAGAGTCCCGAGCGTTCCATCTGCAAGGCTGTCTGCATCTCTTGAACATTCCTTCATGCTCTGCTCCAAGTGCACTGCGACAATTAAATCTGGACAAGCAGATTTACAGGCTGAATTGCAGGGTTACACCGGTTACACCTGATCCAAATGAGCGCTCTCGACAAGGCACCAGGACCACCAGGACTACCAATACCGCACTTCATAGCGCAGCTTCAGCATAAAGTTCTTGGAACCAAATCGTTTCGATGCTGAATATTCTGCTGGATATTCGGATATCTCCTTGCATATCCATGGATGTCAAAGGTGTCTATAAACTATAAGTGCACTTCAAGGGAAGAACTAGACGACGGTTGGCCCGAGAGCGAAAAAGATGTGTTTCAAGCAGCTCTGAGTATGGTAGTCGTAAAAGATAGTCGGTGAATAGTTGGTGAATTTTATATGAGCTATGGAAAGACATGATGTAAAAAAGTAAGATTGATCAAGAAGAGAATATTTGGTAAAGGGCATCAGATGACATGTGTCGTGGAACCACAGAGAGAAAGAGGGGGAAGAGATAAAGAGAGAGAGAGGTCAGACGCATTTCCACACAAAGACCTTTGAGATACAAAAGAAGCTCGGCACCATGATGCCGTGGATGACCTTAGTTGCAAACAAAGGTGGGCAAACATAGTCGCAATGGAAATGCTACAAAATGCAAAAGTACACAAACAAAGGCTCCGTAAGAAACTAGAACTCCGTGCAAGAATGCTGTGAATGATAGCAAGTTCGATATCATGATGGCAAGGATAACACCTGTTTCACTGCATTTCTCCGATGTCCCTACAGGATGGAAAAAAAACTTTACAGACAAACAACAGTTGGCTACTGGTTTTGCATGTTCGTCACGAACAGTCTCTCCAGACGAACATACTGGTTTTGCATGTTCGTCACGAACAGTCTCTCCAGACGAACAGTGCTACAGATTAATTTGCGCCAGTTGCCCTCAGTGCCACTCGGTATGCAAGCCTTCCAGCTCCCACAAGCTGCTTCCAAGCAAAGGTCGGTACCATGATGCTGCAGATGTAGCATCTGGTCCATGCGTTTACATCTGAGGCAAAAAAATGTATAACACACAATCCAATGCGAAGCATCTGCTCTTTCAATTCGAAACTGAAAACACGACTCCGGAGTTTGACATAGCAAATAAGCCCGGTACCATGATGCCGTGTATGACCTCACTTCCAAACAAAGGTGCGCAAACACAGCTTTGGATTGGAAATGTTTAAAAATTGGTATCCAAAAAACAACAAGTGAACGCAGTGAATGATTCCGGGCCCAAAAAAAGTTCGATATCATGATGGCCTGGACGACACCCTGTTTCACTGCATTTCTCCGATGCCCCTACAGGATCGAACAATATTTACAGAGAAGCAACACCTGGCTACTGATTTAGCACGTTTGCCACGAACAGTTTCTCCAGGCGAACAGTGGTGCAAATTCGTTTGTGTACGCAGTGAATGATTCCACAAAAACAAGTTCGATAGCATGATGGCATAGATAACACCTGTTGCACTCCATTTCTTGGATGTCCCTACAGGATCGAACAATTTTTACAGACAAACAACAGTTGGCTACAGATACAAAATAAGCTCGGCACCATGATGCCGTGGATGACCTCAGTTGCCAACACAGGTGGGCAAACATAGTCGCAATGGAAACGCTTAAAAATGCAAAAGTACACAAACAAAGGCTCCGTACCATGGCATCCAAGAGAATCTAGAAGTCCGTGCAAGAATGCTGTAAATGATTCCACAATGGCAAGTTCGATATCATGATGGCAAGGATGACACCTGTTTCACTGCATTTCTCCGATGTCCCTACAGGATGGGGAAAAAATCTTTACAGACAAACAACAGTTGGCTACTGGTTTCGCATGTTCGTCACGAACAGTCTCTCCAGACGAACACTGCTACAGATTAATTTGCGCCAGTTGCACTCAGTTCCATGTGCCACTCGGTACGCAAGCCTTCCAGCTCCCACAAGCTGCTTCCAAGCAAAGGTCGGTATCATGATGCTGCAGATGTGGCACGTTTGCCGCTTTTACTACTGCAGCAATCCCGCTACTGCGGTCGATCTTTATCTGGGCACCTCCACGGACACGACCTAAGTTCCAGCATCTCTGTGAACGCAGAAAGATCTTCCAGCCAGTCAGCAGGATGCTCATACTCGAGATTCACAACGCAGTCGTTGCAGTGCCCGCAGATGTAACATCTCTCGGCTGCCATTGTCCTCCAAACATGTTCTATGCTTCTGACTGTTTTTTTGATATATTTCATATGATGATGACGAAAGTGTGGTATTGTCACGGTCATGACCTTTGCCCAGCCAGCAGAGACTTGCTGAGATGTCCAGCTATCGTCTGACTCGTTTGGATCGCCGGGTTCTTGGTTGGCACCACAGCAAATACAGATGGTGGTGTCTGCCTCCTTCCAATGACACATTTTCTTCAAAACAACCGGCCAACCAGCTTTTACCAGATAGTGTCCGGTTTCTGGTTGCAAAGAATATTTTGGAGCCAATTCAGAGCTCCCAGGCACAAATGAAAGAATGTGTCGTAGAATTTGGTCATCAAAGACATTCGCTGCCATGGCAGAACACACTTAAATCCCCAAATACTTTATGCGACATGTTTGTGCACCAAAACTTTGTTTGTTGTTAACTGCCGTCATGTCCAACGATGTGGGCGCTGCCGCCGAGTATCTTTCAACACGAAGACCCATAATCGGTTGGCATCATCTCTTGCTTCTTTATTTGAAAACAGAATGTAATACAATGTGAAATCGAGCATGGGCTCATGCATCCAAGCTAGTGGCAAATGGCCCCAGAAATGGCGGCCCATTTCCGGAGGGCCGTTCATGTGCACTTGATCGTAGATGTACAATTCTCTCGAACCGGCGTCCTTCCAGTCATGAATAGATACCAACAGCGCATCGTTCAAATCAACTGAATTTGTTTGAAACGAAGTATCATGCTGTTAGTACAGACTACAGAAGTATTACTTGAAAGCGTCAGGTTTCGATATTTCCACTACAGCTTCACCTACAAACGTCACATCTCTTGAGCGAAACGCATCTTGTCCATTCGTTCACATCTGAGCCAAGGAATGTAACGCACAATCCAATGCGAAGCATCTGCTCTTTCAGTTCGAAACTGAAAAAACGACTCCTGAGTTTGACATACCAAATAAGCTCGGTACCATGATGCCGTGGATGACCTCAGTTGCAAACAAAGGTGCGCAAACGTAGTTGCAATGGAAATGCTTAAAAATTGCAAAAGTGCACAAACAAAGGCTCAGTATTATGGTATCCCAAAAACAACAAGTAAACGCAGTGAATGATTCCACAATAACAAGTTCGATATCATGATGGCCTGGACGACACCCTGTTTCACTGCATTTCTCCGATGCCCCTGCAGGATCGAACAATATTTACAGAGAAGCAACACCTGGCTACTCATGTAACACGTTCGCCACGAACAGTTTCCTCAGGCGAACAGTGGTGCAAATTCGTTTGTGTACGCAGTGAATGATTCCACAAAAACAAGTTCGATAGCATGATGGCATAGATAACACCTGTTGCACTCCATTTCTTGGATGTCCCTACAGGATCGAACAATTTTTACAGACAAACAACAGTTGGCTACTGATCTACCACGTTCGCCACGAACAGTTTCTCCAGGCGAACAGTGGTGCAAATCAATTTGTGCACGCCGCGCTCAGTTCCATGTGCCACTCGGCCCGCAAACCTTCCAGCTGCCACAAAGCCTCCAAGACATAGGGGCGATTGTGCCAAGGGC